AGACAGTAAGTCTGACCTTTACAATGTCATTTAGTTTGACTGACCAATATTTTCCAGTTCCCCTGTGCTGCCCCCTCATTTTGTATCAAGCAATGAGAAAGAAGGGTAGTAACCAGATACGTAAGATGCAGCTTACGCACAAGTTTAGCACAGCTGAAGTGTACTGCCGCCTTCTACCAGCTCAGCTCAGTATTTAAACTGAGATATTTAGTTCCCATGGGGAAAATTGTACTAGAATAGAAAAAGGCACAGCATGCAGCTATTATTGGGGCAATGGTTGTAACGAGCATGGAAAATGGAACAATATATAACCCATTCTTAATAGACTCTTGGGAGGGTTATCCTCTGCTTCTCCTCAGATCCTGTACCCAGACAATTTTTTATAATTGGTAATGTCTTTTTTTTTTTGAGAGCGAGAGAGACCAGATCCATTTGTATTGCTCAGTAAATATTAATGGCATTTCCCAAAGATTAATTATCCCCATGCCTGCACCAGATTGTGGTTTGAACAAAACAAACCCCCTTTTGTCTCTCCAAGCAGCTGTTTGACCAGAGTTCTTGTCCTTTCCAGAAGCTCATAAAAGGTCAAATCAACTGATCCTCCAGTTGCCTCAGGTGGGAATGTTCTGGAGCCTGTGTGAGCTCCTTGCACCATGACAATGATCTGTAGTGCTTGCACTGGTGAAATGAGCCTTGGAGCCATGCTGACCTAGACGTCCTTTGCCAAAGAGAAGGTGCCTGAAGTCCAAGAGGAAGGAAGGCTGGGAAGATGTCCAACTTTCTGTGCGTGCAGCGGTTAGTTATGCAAGTATCATGAAAAGAAATACGGTCTTGCAGTGGTAGTTACTCAGCTTTAACTTTGTGGTCACAAAGGTTTGAGATGTTGATGTGCTTAAACGTGATGCTAAAGATGTATCAGACTGGTTGTGGGAATTTATTTTTTTGGTCCTTGAGGTGTCTAAAAGGAACATGGGGAAACTGGTTGATGCCATGCTTGTTGCTCAGCAGCTGAAGCAGAGCAGTCAAGTTTTATGCCATGCTGGTGAGGAGGATGTAAGCCTTGCTGCCTTTTACTCCATGGAAATAGCTTGCAATCGCCCTGAAGACTGAAGCATTGATGGTGGGAGAGGGAATACATGAATGCCATGGAAACCTCTCTGCTTCACTGAGGAAGTGCAGTGGTATTTCTTTTGATTTTACTCATAGATGCTTGCAGTCAGTCATCCTATAGCAGCAACTAAATGTTTTGTTCCAGTTTTGGGGAAGGAATCTGGCCCTGAAGGCACTAATTTTTGGTTTTTGTTGTCTTTTTTCTTATTTCCTGTGATGCCAAGTGACATACAAACTGAGCTCTGCCATCTAAGACCAGGGCTAAGCTATGCCGCAGTTAATAGAGGTCTGGTGTTGGACATGTTTGGAGGCCAACATCCCCCCATGTTAAAAGAAGTAGCGTATTTTAGTGTGTGCCCATTAGCAAAGGTTGGTTGTTGGTTTTATTTGTTTTTATTTTGTCTTGTAACTAAGGATAATTCTGAATCAACTTTTTTTTAGGAGCTGTAGTCTTCAAAAAAGACAGGTTTTTTTTATGTCTACCATACTGCAGCTTTGCTGGCATGAAACCAGGAAAGATGGCACACTTTGTTTCCTGCTAGCTCTAATCAGCCCAGGGAGCTTACACCACCACTTGCTCCAGCTTTGCTCAGTGTGGCAGTGATGTCTTTTTGGGGTGGTAACACTCAGGGTGCACAGTCAGTGCAGTTTAAGATGTAAAGGTGTAAAGTGAGGCCCATGACAGCTTGAAGGATTGTGTGGGGCTCTATCAGCCAGACCCTATCTGAGTGCAAACAAAAAAAATGTTGTTGACAGACAACTTTCATAAATTGCTTTGCTGAGTGTCAACTTCACTTTATAGCACATTGTCACATGCCAGCGCTGACACTTGTGGCATAACTTGCTGGCACAGTATGGCATGCTTGTCGCGCTGGTAACTTTTTCCGCATTTTTTTTTTCCCTAGTAAATCCCTGATGGTCCAAACTGGAGCCATGTTATCAGGTTTTGTCTTTGATGCATAGGTGAGAGAGCTGCATAGCATTTACAGCCAGAATAGTGCTGGCATCACAATTAAAATACAGACTAGGGTGAAACAAAATGAATGTTTTCAATGTACCCATATTTCTGTGCTGTGAAGTGTTTTCTGCTGGTTCTTCCATAGCAGTACCTGTTATTCAAAGGGCAGAGGTTTGCAGCAGACTTAGCCAGCAGTTACTATGGGCTAGGTGAGAGGAAAACTCCTTCTTTTTTATCATTTACTTTCCTTAGCCATTTCTGTGCTAGGTGTTTGCCCAGTGCCATGCCAACATAGCCACGCAGGGAGTTTGTCCTGCTACTATCACATGTGGGCTAAAGGGTTGTAGTCACTATATTAAAATGAGTTACAAAGCCCCCTAAATGGTGGTGGCATGTGTGGCTGAAGAAAGAAACAAGAAACATCACTGGTCAAGACTTGACACTGAGCAGTGATGGAGAGAAGCAATGAAAGACTGTAAGAACGGTACCCAGGTGTGCCATGGATGCTCTCTTCTGCAGTTGGTGCTGGCTTTCCCTCCAGGAGGGCAGCTGAGAGAGGCAGTGGTTCAGCGCTTAAACTGTGGACAGGGTGCTTGGTGGCCTGGTTAGTTCAGAGACCTGGTAGCTCAACATGTTGCTCTTGAGGCTCTACTTCTTTGAAGGTACATCTCTCCATCAAGTAAGCAGCCCCCCCGGACCCCTTAATTCGGGGTGCTTTCTACTTCGTGAGGGGGCTGAAATGTAGGCAATGGACTGTATCAGATGCGGTATGTTTCCAGCCTGAACACATATGACTGACCTTTCCCCAATGCTGTAGGACTGGGGGCTCTGAGTGGGGTAGGAGTCAATCCAACATGACTGGGAGCTCCAGATAAACCTCAGTGCTTGCTGTTGGCACACAGGCACCTGAGCCCTCTGTGTCCCTATAGCATGCAAGGGTGCTCACAGTGCAGCATTAGGCAGCAGAGCCATGGCAAAAGGCTCTATTTCAAAGTTTCAGCTTTTCAAAACACAAAAGGACATGCTTGAAATTCATTCCTTCATGCTGATCCTGGGAGTCTTCCATAACCTTGAAATTTGGCGCTCTCCTTATCTTTTCCTGCTTGTTCTGTACCTGTACAGAGCCAGACACTGGCACATGCTGTGGGGCTGAAGGGTCCTGGGTCAGCAGCCCCTTCACAGGGAGCATCACAGCCGGCCCAGGCACTACCCATCATCTCCTGCAGCCAACAGCAGCTCCACAGCTGAGGCATGGCTGTGGTAACAAAGAAGTCTCAAGAATTAAGGTGGTATTATCTGGTACTTTATGTATGGCTGTAATTTATGAATGACAAAAACAATCCTGCCTGGCTTGTAACAGCAAGGCTTGAGGCTGTTCTCCTTGCTAATGTGCTGTTCTGACCTGTTACCCCTTTCCCTTGGGCTTATTCGTTTTGCTCTTTACCTCCCACAGGAGCTAGATCCACACCCTGAGCAGCAAGACCTTCCAGGAGCCACAGCCAGGGCAGTGCCTGTTTTCATAACAGCAACTCTATCACCGCTACGACTTGCTGCTCCTGCCTGCTGGCTCTGGGTGCTGTGAGAGGTCAGGGGTTGAAGTTAATGTGTGTGGGCAGAGAAAGGGCATCTGCTTGCATTGCCCTGCTTCAGTACCCACCCACCGTGGGATCAAGGGTGTGTAGTTCACCGCTGACCTCCAAACTACAGAGAGCACCAGACAAGGAGAGATTTGCAAATTGCTTCTAATGCCCTAGTTGGTGCAGGTGGGTTCAGCACATCCCTCACCCCATCACCCTCTTCCTTGCCTCTCCCCAGCTGTGCATTTGTTACCTCTGAAGTGCTTCTGCAGCATCTGCAGCTCTGGTGCTCACGAGACATACCCGTACCCATGCGGCTGCAGCATCTCTGGGGTTCTCATCCCATTACAGCTTGGCTGTGGTAAGGCTTTGGATTAGAGAGGTTTGTAGTCTCGGCTTCGAACATGTGTAAAATGAGATGTGTGCGTCGCCTTAATGCATAGGGAGAGCGTGTCTGCTGGAAGGAAACAGCAGCATCTCCTCGCCCTGGCACAGATGGAAAGGCACAAACCACCCACATTCCCCTGTAGCTGCCCCCTCCTCTGCACACCCCACCTACTGCCTCCCCACACCCCTCTTCCCATTTCTGAAATCCCTCCCACCCCTCACACAGCACAGGCCTCTCTGTTTCCATCTGACAGCAAGGATTTCAGTAGCATTTCTTGCTCTGGTTTGTATTTTAGAGCAAGCAGCCATCCCTCCTTTTCTTTATCTTCTAACTCTTCCCTAGTAAGTATGATCACTTCATCCTGCGAGACCTGAAAACCCATTCCTGAAATTCCCCTGGCAACTAATACAGTAAAACAAGCCTATAAATATAAATAATTATGATTAAAAGGCATAAAATGCCAGACTTGGGTCAAACATGCTCACACGGTGACACTAGCAACAAATAACTACACAGTGTTTGAATGTAGATGGAAAAAGCTGAATACAGAGTAGCTAGTTTGTTGCCCATAACTGTCAGACTCCTAATTCGGACAGGCCATATTTTATTGATAGCAGAGCAAACACAGTCATCATCCATCCCTACCTTTCCTGCTTTGTGAAAAATCCCATCCATCCCCAGGGAAGCAGGGATGGAAAAAACAGTGGTGTAAACGTGAGGTGAAAGTATAAGACAGAAAGCACAGTCCCAGGCTGTTTCCCATGTGTTTCTCACACATCATATGCTAAGTTCAATTTTCTAAAACCTTTTTTTTATTTTTAAAGGTAACATCTTTATTATTATTATTATATTTATTAGTTGTTATTATTATTATGCAGAGATGAGATTTTTTCCCCCTTTGATCACAGAGCAAACAGTTTGCTTTTGAAAATGTTAATGGAGTCCTGATTTAAAACATATTTTTCTTCACTTTTTTTTTTTTTGGTTGTTGTTTTTGTTTTTTAAAACATTGCAACAGGCAGGATCTGGGGTTCGATTTCCTCGTCCTACACAAAGAAAGATTCTGGAGTTCGGACTCCTAGCCACTACCAGTAGGTCCTGCCTTGCTCAGTCGTCGTCGTCTCAGTGTGGTTTCGCCAGGTGGGGTGGGTAGGTGGGTGGGAGGGGAGGAGTTGGAAGAAGGGAGGGTATTTGTCAGCTATGTCGAGTCTTGGTTAACAACTTTGCCTCCATTCATGGTTGGTGTCCCTGAACTTTTTCTTGAGCGTCCTTGTTTTTCTCCAATTTCATGCAGCGATGGCTCTCTGTACATGCACACTGCAAACAGAAAAGACACCCGTTAACAGCCCTGAAACCCCAGACATTAGTGACACTACGAATTACTTCTTTGCATATGAAGCTGAAATTCCAGCCCCAATCCAATCACACCACAGTTACAGGAACCTCAGCGACCCAGCAGCAGATCCTCTTACTGAGAAGGATCTGTTACCTGCCCTTGCTGCCAGTCAGATCCTCCTTCTGTCTCTGGATCCTTCCAAAGGCACAGACAGAAACAGGGGATTTCTCACAGGTAAGTCTTTCTACGTTTTCTGTGCTTTACTGTTTTTTCTTGTTATATTCATATATTTAAAAGAAACATTCCAGCTCATAGGACTGTGTATTGTCTCTAGATGCTGATTATCATCTAATAACAGATCCAAGAATTACGCCGTCCCCAGTCCTTAACCTCTAATAAGAAGCCCTTGAGAGTCTTGAATCCAAACTATGCTTACATATGAGCCATCCAAGCCTTCTGGGTGTTAAGCTCTGGATCTGGAAGTGGTGTCTCAAGCCCATTTGGCTCTTTTGGCCAAGAGCTGAGGTCTGCTCTCAGCACTTCTTTTTCCCCTGTAAATCAGCTAGCCAAGGCCATGAGCAGGCACATGGGGCTGAGTTCAGAACAGCAAGCCGGGAGCCATCCCAGCTCTGCTGGCAGCACCTGAGAACAGGACAGAGGGCACCTTCTCTCCAGACCCTGGGTAAGCTATGTGTGCCCTATAAAAATGCACTTGCTGGAGCCCAGACAGCCTGAGAAGGCAATGTCTGTCCAAGGCATGGCACATCCCCATGTTCTGTGCAGCATAAAGCATTTATCCAACTCACCATGTGGACTAAGTCCTCATGGCTGTCCTTGGGCTGCGTGAGGCGTGCCAGAGTGGGGCACGCGCTGAGCGGCTCACACCGAAGGGAGCATCTCCGATGAGCTCATCGCAAATGTGGTGGGGTGTAGATGTGACTGAAATAGTGAGGCATCTCAAGGGCAGGCACACTGGAGCTGAGAACCTGAGGTACGTCCAGACTGCAAATGTTATGCCCAGATCTTTGCAAAAATTAGGATAGAAAGAAATGATTGTGTACTGCAAAAAGCTGTCACAAAGGAATGGCAGAGAGCTCAAACAGAGGCGATAGAGCCCATCAGGTTTTGGTTCCGGGTAATCAACAACAACAAAATTTCAAAAATTATTTGAAGAAGTGAAAAAAGTACCCCATGTATAAAAAGGCAATGTAAGCACTTATATTTATAACCTTCTCTGATTTGCAAATAAATCCTGGCAATTAGAAGCAAGCTGCAAATGACATTATTGCTCTGCATTTTACTCCTAGCTAGATAAACAGTTCTAGCAGTATGCAACAATACAGGACAGAGATAAAGTGCAGTCAACTGTGTATTAATAGGAGGGATATTGCATGGAATATATGAGCAGTGAAAAAATATTACTTTTCCCATAGAGCATTTTTCATGCAAGGCTTTCAAAGCAGTTAAAACACACACACGCTAGCAGGGCTTCCCAGCCTGGCTGCAAGGCAGGTACTGCTCTGCAAACCGTTACTGCTACTGGAGCCATTTTTTGATGAAAATGAGTACAAAGAGAAAATTAATGACTTGTCCCATAGGTCTGGGCCAGGATGAGCAATGCCAGGACTGCCCATCAGACTGCCAATGCTGTCTGCACGCTGCAAGGAGAGTGTACAGCACAGCAGCAACAAGAGGGCTCTTGCATCCCCTTTCAGGGTGCGCATCACTTCTGTGACCAACCTTACTCTCTGATGTGGTGTTTGCCTAGCAGGGTTCAGTATTTGTGCTGGCATTGCCCCAGTGCCCCCAACATTCCACACACAAAGTTCTGCCTCAAGTGCAGTGTGGTCTGCACCCTGACCTCTCTGGTTCCAAGCTGGAGCAGGAGGGGCATCCATGTGCTCTTCCCCAGCCACCTGCACGTACTAAGCTCATCTCACCCACATCCATCCCCATTAGCCCACTGGCCTGGGCCAGATACCTTAACCACAAGAAGCCTGAGCAAAGCTCAGAACAGCAACACCACAGCACATTGCCTTTCCTCATCTCCCTGCCTCTCACCATGGCCTTTGGGCAAAAGCATTAAACTGCTAACAAGGCTCACAGGGTAATGAATATAAATCAGGTCATGGAAGTAAACAACATTTGCAGTTAAAAATTAAGAAGACCCTGCACCTAGCAAGCAAATAGGGCAGGAATTCTAAGTTTATCTTCCAGTCTAGTGCATGATACAAGTAGTGACATGGGGCATGGCTGGCGGCTGCTCACATTGTGCTTTTCAGACAGAGCTGTCAAAGCCTCTACGAGACAGGCTGTGCCAACAGACCATGCCAGAAAAACTGTAGCAGCATAGGACAAGCATATTTTTGGGATTTAGACACCCCTACAATATCAGTGAATGCCATATTTATACAGCACCATGCACAAGACAATGCCCGGATAATATCCTACACAAGAGACTTGTGGCCATCGCGCAGCGGTGGCTGCAAACCCACGCGCACCCCGACACGGAGGGGGGTGCACACACGGACACATGGGTGTGTGCACACAGCCTGGAGCTCCAGGGACAGTGGGACATGTTGTGCCACACAGGCTCTTGGATTTCAGTTTGTTACTCCTTGTACTGAGGGAGCTTGAGTGTGACTCACACTGAGATGTTAGTCATGGACCAGGCAAGGGGGGATATTTGCAAATGGACTGTTTGTGTGTCCAGATCTTCCCAGCTTTAAAGTAACACCTTTGTGGTTCAGGACTAGCAGAGTCACCGACAGGCCTGTCTGAGGTACTTGTGCGCGTGTGAAGACACACCGGCTGTCACCTGCATCAAGGTAAACCAGCAGCAGTGTGACAGCATGCCCAGACACTTGGGAGGTCTGCTGGTGCACAGAGCACAAGGCAGCTTTGGAAGGATGAGCAGTGTGGCTAGAACAAGGCTCCCCTCCCT